GAAAAGTTTCTGTTTCTCACTCCTTAAAACAGTCTCTGTCGTTTTAGTCATTTCTACATCTAAAAAGGTCTGTGTACCTGAAAATATGAGTCAAACTTCATCACCCTTTGACTGTCTTTGATGACAGAAGACACTGAACCATGCTGAAAATGACTTTTGGAAAAGTGGTAATTTATGGCATTCTGTATAAAAGGAGGCATTGTTCACCTTACCTGTGACAAAGATATTTGCCTGTCATTTCACCTGGGTGGAGCCAGGAGAGCAGGTGGAGGTCACAGTTAATATATAACTTGGTGGATAATTAAATAGAAACCTGAAGATTGTTCACATCAATATCAAATTTGGATATCAAACAGAAAGAAATGGGGAGGGAGGGAAAACAAGTTGAATATTTAAAAATATCAGGGACAAGAAAAGGAATGAGAAGAATACAAAGAGGATATTTCCCCATGATGATCTTTTTATGTTTCTGTGAGTGCTAATGAAGAAATTCTCTAAAGCAGTGGTTTTCAACCTTCCTTCCAACCTTCCTAAATGCTGTGACCCTTTAATACAGGTTCGTCATGTTGTGATAACAACCAACCATAAAATTGTTTTCATTGCTAATTCATAACTGCAATTTTCCTGCTGTTATGAGTCATAATGTAAATATCTGATACAAGACCTCTGGGAAAGGATCAGTCAACCCTAAAGAGGTTGCGACTGACAGGTTGCGAATCACTGTTCAAAAACTCTCATTTTAACCAAAACATATCCTTTTCTCTACTGAAACACATCAGAAGAAAAATGAGATGGAAAGGGCATACATACTAGGAAACATCCTTTTTCATAAAGAAAAAGAAGATGTCTCTGGAGAAGTCAAGTCAAGCATTGGAGTCTCACTTTGTTTCAGTCCAGACCTTCAAGCTTGGCTCTCTAAGGCTTTACCTTGGGAATAACGTGTATAACGTCAGGAACTGACTCCTGGAATGCAGTTGTAGAGAGGGAGGAGGGGTGAGCAAAGCAGTCAAGACCGTGCTGGAAAAACCTAACAGAACCAGCTGACCTGACCTAGTGAGAGCTCAAGGATCCTAGTCATAAAGCTGGGGAACCAGCATTGGACTGAACCAAAACCTCTGAATGTGGGTGCCAGTTAGGAGGCCTGGGCAGGCTATGGGCCCTCTAACAGTGGAACCAGTATTTATCCCTAATGCACAAATGGACTTTGGGAGCCCATTCCCTATGGAGGGATACTGTTTCAGCCCAGTTACACGGAGGAGGGCCTAGGCCCTCCCTCAAATATTGTGACAGAAATTTCTGATTTCCCCATGGAAGGCGTCACCATCCTTGGGGAGCGGGTAGGGATGACTTGGGGGGTTGCTATGGGGCATGGGAGGATAGGGGGACAGGGAACTGGAGTGCGGATTGGTATGTAAAATGATTATTTCTAAATTTAAAAAGAAAAAAAATAAAAAGGACTACCCTCCCAAAAAAATAAGAGCATTGGCATTATTAATATAAAGAAAAATATTAAACTGAAAATACTTGGTGACGAAATTACCTTTATCTAAGTAGATTGGATCCATGATCAGCAAGTCATTGTTTGTTTTGTCATGTTACAAATCAACAAAACAAACTTAACACTATTCTGTCTCAGATCTCTGCACCCGGGGCACGCTCACTAACCCAATCTGTTGCAGTAATTATTTCTAGTTGTGCCTTTAGTCATCAGTAAAGATATTCTTCAAAATGCACGGTCATCATTGTAAGTCCATGTGAATCCAAATATTTTAGGTAGAATGTGAAGGTGTTTTGCAATAATTTAAAAGGATCATAAATTGATACAATAATACACTTAGAGTCAATTTCAGAAAAACTTAAGTTTCATTCAAAAGAGTTCTGGCTTTTTGTTGTTGTTTTGTTTTATTTAATCCATCTAACGCCGAATGATACTGTCTGCCCTAGGACATTTTGCTGTAAAAACCATTAAATAAAAAGTCTCAATTACTAGATTTTGCATTAGTCTCAGACTTTGCTTTTAGCCCTAAGAGGCTATTTCCAGACAATTTTTTCAGCTCCTAATCTGTTCAATAGTCTGCCCAGCTGTATCATTTGAGCCTCGATAAACACATCTCTGCTTAGTCCCATCATCTTTAGCATCTGACACTTTGTAGCAGCATTTTGAAATCATATTTTATGGCAGTGAACCTGCTAGGGAAAATTTATGAACTTAACCATCCCATCCAACATCTCCTGTCATGTGGAACTGCCCCTAGTACAAGAGAGATTAGTGGGTGTGAGCTGCTTCAATTTGGCCAGCTGCCTGCCTACAGAATTTTCTATTACATGGGCGAATGAGATTAACCAAGTTTGGAAACATTTGATTTGTTCTATGGCAGACTGAGAGAGCAGGAGTGAGTGGAGCTGAACGTGAATGTCTTCAGATGAAGTTCTAGTGAGGTAGCAATGCCAGCACCATGAGTCACTGATACTCACTGATTTTTTAAGTGGACATAACAATGTACATTTGTGAGCCAACTTTGCAATGTGCTTCATTGTAGATTCTAGACACAAAGATTATAAATAGTGTTCAACATATAGAAAGCAGTTGAGCAAATGTGCTTTTCCTGGCTGTGCAGCGGCCCCAGGATTCTATACAACCAACAAATGAAGCCAGGAGAGCTTTGAAATTCACATGCAAATAGAATGCTAGATTTCTCTCAATTCTTAACATTCTGTGGTATCCTACTAGGTCAGATGTCCTACCCTCAAACAAGGATACATGAAAGAATTAATTAAAGAAAATATAATCACAATTATGCCTGTAGTACACAAATATTTGAAAAACAAACATTTCCATCCAATTGTCTGGAAATACTCAGGTCTAAGTTGTAACAAAAACAAAACTTTAGACTGGTATATCCACAAAAGAATGATGAAAAAAGAAAATGACAGCTCTTTTTAATGATTAGAATCTCCTGAACTATAAATGGAATTCATCATTCCACAAGACAATGAAGGTGATAAATTACAGACAAATTAACCTGATATGCTACAAGGGAGCTTGCTTGAAGAAAAATTGTTTCAAGACTATATAAATAGTAAAAATCTTTATTTTAGATCAGTTAATCAAATTTTGAGGAATATAATTTGCATGGATAATAATATGTGAAGTTTATTTTAACATATTATAGTTAAAATATGTAGTCCATTTCTGTATAAATTCTATATTATAGTCTAATAACCTTTCTATATGAATTCCTAATCCAAAACATCATATTAGTCTTCAAAACTGTTAGTGTTGTACAAACAATAGGTATTTTATATGTGTTTTATTGACAAAGAAATTTCTATAATGCATAGCATTAACCATAATAAATTACATACCAATAAAATTTCTCCCCAAAATGAAAGTAGACTGCCTCTAAACCTCTCTATAGGTTCAAACTCACAAGGTGAACATTAATAACTGGAAAATGTTTTAATATGAAATCTCACTGTGCTGTCCAGTCTGACCTTGAACTCATGCATCTGGAGGTCCTACCACCTCAGCCTTTCAGCTAGACACTCTTCAGCCATCTCCATCTCATTATATGAATAAAATCAATGGTTATCCGTGAAAAAAGTATATATGATGTCTCTTTTCAATGCTACACAAAGACTTAAAAGCCATTCAGGGCTAATCAATCATTAAAACCAACCGAAATCTTGGAGTTTAAAGGCTTTGATCCTCATATCTTACCGTACATATGAAGAAGCTGAAACTGAAGGAAAACAATTTTTCCAGGCTCATGGAGATCACACATGGCACATGAAACATTCCTTACATCTCACAAATACAAATGTAATTTAACATTTTAAGAATCTTGCTAACTAGCCGGGCATTGGTGGCACACACCTTTAATCCCAGAACTCGGGAGGCAGAGACAGGTGGATCTCTGCGAGTTCGAGACCAGCCTGGTCTACAAGAGCTAGTTATCTTGCTAGCTGTCACTTTTAAATTAAATGTTTAAACAAGATGTTATACTTATGTTCTTTTATAAATCTATTTATTCTAGGTTATAAAATGTAATGATTGAATCCAGCATTTTTCATTTTACGCTTATCCACTTAATATTTAAGATTTTAAAAAATGTACAGCCCATGCCTATTGGTTGCATTTTGTAAGGCAAATAGAGATGTACAACACCTCTTTGGTGGTAAAATGAAGTTTTGTGTAGATTTGAGAGATTGAACTTATTTTTATTCATGTACAGGAGTGGTTGGCTTGCAACATGTAAGTGCACCGTGTGCATGAAGTACTCTAGGAAGCCATAAGGAAGCATCAGATCCCCAGAAATACAGCTACAGATAGTTGTGAGCACCTTGTGTGGGTGCTGGCAACTGACCCTGGGTCCTCAGCAGCAGCAATGGGTGCTCTTCACTACTGAGCCATCTTTCTAGGCCCTGAAGGTTTATATTATGTGTATGCACATTGCCATGTTTTCCATTATTATAGAAAGTCCCTACTGAGAGTTTCCTTTCGCCCTTCTCCAGCATTCAGTACATGGAATGGAATGCAAATAGGGCATGCAATCTCTATAAACAGCAGTGAAATGACTTGAGCCCTATACATTAGTACCCTCTAGCTAGAAGAATTGCATCACCTCCCAAATCTACTTTATAAATATGAATCTGGACAATGGGATTTTTGTCAACTCTAGCAAATCTAAAATATAATATATTTTTCAAAGATAAGATGTCTCAGAAATAATAATCCAGTACCATGTGGCTATCCACAACATGCTCTTGAGGTCTTTCAATGAATAGTGTAAGTTCCCACACAGTACCTCCCCTGGGTAGAAGATAGTGTTTTCTTTTAGAAAAAAACTTTGAGATACTTCAAAATACCACCCTTTAATAATAAAGAATTTCTATGTGTATACAAAATGACCTTTTCCATTATCAGGGATAGAACCTCTTAAACATATTTTCTTACACAAATATTATAATACAAAATACTTTCTTATATGTATACTCACCTGATCAGAGAACAGGCCACTGTTGTCTTCAAGGTATTTACTGAAGGGATTAGGTTCATAAACTTCTTCCTCCTTTCTCAGTAATAGTTTGGATTTTACAGGTACTGGGCGAATTACTCCAGGCTTAGTCTTCATGAAGGAGATATGTTTTTAAAATAGAGGGAGAAGAAAACACTATTAAAATGAGTAAATATAATTATTGTTGTTCCCCAAATGTTTTCACAAAATTTTTCTTTTGAAATTTGAAGTAATTTAAAATAATGGATAAAACAGTTTAGAAATTATATTGTTTTAACAATGCAGCTAAACTTAAATATCAATGTAATTGTCAACCAATTATAATCAATTATTTCATTGATATAAGTAGCAACTAAGTCATAAAGATCTCCTATCACAATAAAATTGTAACACCACACCAATCATGTTCCTCTACTCTTTTTTAGTAAATGTTTTTGGTTTTCTTTTTTCTGTTTTATTTTACTTTTTTTTTTTTGAGTGCCTGTTCTCTCAACATACAGTGTAGGTGTAGAGGACCTTGGAAAGTCCACCCATACTATGTATAAACCACACTCATATTATATATGGCTGAACTATGTCTAGATGGAAAATAGAATGTAATAGAGAGATCTCAATTACCTGATATTGTTTTGTGTCTATGCTGGAGTTGTAACATGCCCTAATTTAATTTAAACGGCCAAACTACTGAAATGGAGAAGCTGTACGAAGCCACTGCCCAAAGAGTGAACGCTAAAGCATTCCTGGGGCAGCTGAGCTTCCTGCCCCTTCATTCCCTAGGACTATCCTTTCCTTGTACACTGGGTTCCATCTGATGGACTTTGTACCAGAATAGCCTTAACAAATACATCAGTCACTGGGAACTCATAAAATTGTAGTCAATGACAATACAAGAGGGGGTTTCTTTCACTTGGGGCAATTTCTAAATGTTTCACAAAGTGTAAAGTCTTGTCACACTGTCAAATATCACAAAATGATTGATATGTTTTGAAATCGTGCCAAGTAAAAATCCAATAAAAATAAATTGTGCCACTCTTTGAGCATTTCTCTGCAGTCATTCTTCTACACCCCATTCCTACTGGAAAACTGTAAATTAGCCCTGCCTAGTCAAACCTGGTGTTCACAAGCTAAGCCTTAAGACACCACATCTATCTCTCGGCTCCATGAAGCACTTGATGTATTTTGAGTCTTGAGTAAATGATGCTCTCTAATACTTTTTCCAGTTGCTATTTCCCTGGTTGTTTTCCATGTACACGCCAAGTGGGGAACTACAGATTGAGAAAGTGTTTTCTTTCTCCAGGCTGAGAAATAGCTCTGATTTAAGAAACTGATTTATCTTCCAGAGAGAGAAAAAATGAGCCAGAAGTATCTAGTTATTTAAATAGTATGAGAACAGTATTCCCCAAGTGAACAGCGTAAGAACACCACTCAGGCAGTCTCCAATTCTACTGCCTGGTGTCGGGGCCATAACGCTGTGTTATACGCATGCCCTTCCTTTCCATGAGATGTCCTGCTAATTTCTCTTTCCTTCTTCTCCTATACCTATACTTTCTTCATGAAATTAATATAGGAAATCAAAACAACCTTGCAGGTACTCGCATCAACCTGGAACTTCAGGAGTTGAAGCCAGGTGTCAGCCTGCAGAGAGGAGAACACTGTCTAGCAGAATTGGATAGGGTAGAGTATCTCTGTGCCAGAGAAACACAGCTGTCTCGTTTCCTGTATTGCAAGCAGATGTTTTGAGTTACATTGGCATAGAGCCCATCTGACTTGTAAGTACCTTCTAGGATGAGACCAGAAAAGAGACTGTCTGTGGCCAGTGAGATGGGTCAGAGAGTAAAGGAGGTTGCTGTTTAGCCAGACAATCTGAATTCAATCCCCAAAACACACATGATAGACGTTAACAACTGACTCCCATCAGTTGTCCTCTGTTCTCTGCAGTACATACCAAACACACACACACACACACACACACACACACACACACACAAACTAAAATTTTAAAATAATTTAAAAATAGAAAAAAAGGAAGGAAACTTTGCAAGGTGTGAAATCTTAAGTGAAATACATTTGCTATCAGAGGTCAGTTGCCTCACGTTGCTTCTCTGCCAAGTTTCTGTTCCTTACTTTCTGTGTGCCTTCTGGATATGGTGCCCTTCTAACATCTAGATGATTCCCTGAGCCTTATTTTCTGTTTCCTCTGTGCTGTAAAGTTTTTCCACTTTTCATTACATTATTATTAAAAACTGAGGACCAGGCGTTGGTGGCGTACGTCTTTGATCCCAGCACTCGGGAGGCAGAGGCAGGTGGATCTCTGTGAGTTCGAGGCCAGCTTGGTCTCCAGAGAGAGTGCCAGGGTAGGCTCCAAAGCTACACAAAGAAACCCTGTCTCAGGAAACCAAAAAACAACAACAACAACAACTGAATCTCAGACTTTGTCTATCTAAAGTATCTGAGTCATTCCCATTCTTCATTGCTAAATTGGTTTTCACAGATTGCTCTTTCTTAAATTGTGAATTGCCTCTTTCTTTGTTTTTAATTTTGCTTTTGTGCCATGAAATAATTTCATAGCCATGAGTGCAAACCAGAGGGAGGGGGAAAACAGGCAGAGATTGTCTTTGGTAGTGTTCATGGTCCCTATCATATGACCTTTATCATAGCTTCCAACCTTTCTCAGTATTGGTCAGTTTAAAATTCTAATCAAGTTGAGGGTGGCCCCATGCCTCCTTCTTTTGTTCTACACACTTCACAGCCAGTTTCAAAGCCTTGTGGGCCGTTTGGGGAGCTAAAGAACACCTCCTTCTGTTAGACACCCTGATTCCATGGCGCATCTACACGATAGCACTATGGTTATACACTGACTTTCCACAAACACTGTAAGTGCTTTCAAGACAGAAAGTCAGAAGTCTTTTGTTTAATATGTAAACCACGATCCAAATCTAGGTCAGATGGTCCAATGATCAAGTTTGTGATTTTCATTGACCCTGTACCTTGGAGATAGAGAGAGGGAAACTTAAAGCCTTTTTAAAACACCTGCTTTCCCATAACATCAAACTAATAGTGAAATCTTTGCATTTAAATTTATTTAATCTCTTCATTTATACTGCCAACCTACTTTTGAACCATCTTTGCATTGTTCTGTGTCATTTTTCTTTTTTTCCCACTAGATCTTCTAAATATTCCTGAAACATGAAATCCTAAGTTTTCCAGTTCTGCTGTGTGTGTGTGTGTGTGTGTGTGTGTGTGCACTCTCTTGTACACACACACACACACACACACACACACACACACACACACTTACCCACCTCTCAATGAGTCTGAAATTTTCACTCTCTAGATCTGATTAACAACCCATTCCCAAAGCATGATAGCAGGATAAATGGATTATCAGGACATACATTTCAATCTTGGAAACTCATGTGATATATCAAGCCCCCTGAAGTGTTACAATTCTAATCCTTAACTATGTCCTTTCATAATGGGTAGAGTGTCACATTATATTCCTAATGTCCCTGACTCTTCAGGAATGACACCACATATTACCGCATCAGCCTTATTTCAATGTACTCAAATCCATCATCCACATGTAGTTTCAATGTATGCTTTGGAAAGCCTTTAACATTTTTGATGCAGCAAGAGCCAATGTGGACACACAGGAGTCTCTTCCACAATGACTTCCTTTCTGTTCTTCCTAATATGTTATGTCAAATGATCATGTGATTGATACTTTCTCAATATGAAATTACAGCAGAAAGTAAACTAATGGTTCCACCCAAGAAATTTCCTAATGCCTTGCCACTCAGAATAGGGCCCATTGTATACGGAAGTTTCTGTTCCACCTGGTCCTACAGCCATTTAGTCCCAAATAAACACACAGTGGCTTATATTAATTATAAACTGCTTGCCAGGTGGCTCAGGCTTCTTAATGGCTATCTCCCTCTTAATTATTAACCCATTTTTATTCTTCTATGAATCCATCTCCATGTGGTCTTGGTTTACCAAAGAATGCCTGTGGGTCCTATCTTCCCCATAGATCCATGGGGTCTCTCTGAAGACTCTCTGTGTTCCTCGTCCCAGAATCTCCTAGTTGGTCACCCTGCCTGTACATCCTGCCTGTCAATTGGCCAAAACAGCTTTATTCATCAACCAATAAGACAAACATATTCACAGTATACAAAAGGACATCTCCCATCAGCCCATAGACCTGCAGGTGTGAGCATCACCTGGGAAGCTATCACATGGGATAGACCCTAGAGGCATCCTTGATGTATGAACTGTAAACTCTAAAAGATCCCTAGATAATATGTGTGCAAAGTAAAAGCAATAATCATTAGACTAGAGCTTCTTCAAATAAGCTTCTCAGCTGGGGCTGACTTCCCCATTCCAGACACATTTGTTTATGAGGGCCTTTTGTCTCTTGTGGAAGAAGAGCAGGCTGTTCTTACACATTTCAATCTCTGTTTTCACTTTGCTCAAAGTAATCTGTTATCCTTGAACATCAAGCAAGAATTCTCTTGAAGGATTTCCTTAATTTTTGCAAATCTAATTTGCTAAGTCTATGTGCACACAAATATGAAGAAAATTAGATGAATCACATTTGAAGAGTACATAAAAAGTGAGTTACTCTAAGACTGTTACTGCCCAACAACTTAATCCATCCACAGAGGGCCTCTTGTCACATGTAGACCCTATAGAATAACCAGACTAGACAGATAGACACAAATCACCACAGCTATGTCAGAAAATGAGATTCTATAAATTTGTGTCTGGAATAAGTGGAAAAACTGAAAGGAACTTTTCACACAGTTAATGCCCAGAACACAGGAAGAACAGAGTCTCCATATGGAGCATAAGCTGATGCAATGAGCTGACTGAGAAACTCTGAAGATTCCTCTATCTGAGGCTATTAGGGCCTATTCTGTCAAATGAGACCTCTACCAAAACTGTAATGTCTATGGTGATGGATACAACTCCTAACTCAAGATCCACAACCTAGTCAATCAATCCACTAAGTAACTATAGTGTAAGTCACATTGTGTCACTCAATTTCCAAATAATGCCACTCACTTCCTTATCAAATCATGTCAACTGATCTTTCAAAGATTCCTTTGCCA